ATAACATTCTCATCATGATAATTGTTGACTAACATTACCTTCTGAATTATCATTGAGGTTAATAAACTGAAATTATTTGCACCATTACTGTTACTTAGTTGAAATTTTATCCACACTAAAAAGAATATGGTTAAGCAATCAAAATTTCCTATTATAGTCTTCACCGTGATTAGCTAATTAACACCTACTTTATGCCAAGCATATGGATAATCAATAAACATTCCTATTACACTCACCATTAAAATTAATTAACTGATGTTCATGTCACACACATACACAACTATGTTACAAACTCACCTGAACAAAATGGGTTATTAATGTTGAAATTCAGAGGAAATTCATGAGAAACCTGCCAGTTAGGAGGAATCTTTGCACCAAAACCAAGAGCTGGAAACATTTTATCGCTAAAAACAGACAATAAATTGAAATGTTAATTTTCTAAACTTAGTTTTTCTTACTTCCTGAAAGTTTTAATATGAAATTATATTTTATGAGGCCAACACGTTTGTTAAAGCACTTTTAATTTTCTACCAAACATTAATATCATTTTCTTTGCCTAACACTGTTACAATAACACATCAATCAGACATGGTCAAAAATTTTCAAAGCCAAATATTTTCAACCTACCTTTAGAAAACTTTTATCAACAGCCTTTAAACCCACGATTTATATAATTTTATTACCAGAACATTTTCCAATCTCTCTCATTCTCATTTTTTGTCAATAGCTTATAATGAGTAAACTACATCTTCAATTTCCCAAAAAGTATTCAAGTCTAAAATAATGTTGCACAGCTTTCAACACTGACAATTCTATACCCCTCACTGTACCTCTTATATTGTATAATACTATTACCAAATATTTTTAATAACCCCCATACAGTTTAGAGTTTGAAATTATATCCTCCATTTTTGTCGAGCCGTATTAACAATATAAAAATTAGAGATGGTCCTGAACTTTGTTAACATAATACTCAATTTATCTGTCATATTTACAAACATTACCAACCTACTTGTTGTACACAATCTACTGTGTCCAATTAATTCTTTTTTTTCATTAATATATTCAGTATTTCATTTACTGTTTTACTGATTCTGTCAAAATCGGAAATCACTGATTGCCAATTACAAAAGGCCTGATTCCGATTATGTACAGCAAAATTGATGATGTCATTGTGTAGTATTGTGTACAGCTTAATCTTAAAAATTGTGATGACAATAGAGAATGTACTTTGAAGCTTCATTAAATTTGAAAAGGTTGAAGTTATCAATAAATGTGTAATGCAAAAAAACAAAATTTTTAAAACGTGATCTCTTTTCTGTTTTTTTATTTGAACAAGTGAAAAATAAAAATAGGGACTGACCGTGTGGCTAGTACATGATCACTACGATCACCACATAATGTTATGTGACTGCTTTGAGAGACAAATTGTTGAGGTTCATTGCCTAAGTTCATCATTCATTTCAGCCACAAATTTGAAGACTTTTGCTATCACTACACATTTTGAACTAAACCACTTTCTAAACCAATGAAGTATTCAAACCAAAGGTCAAATAAAGTGACGGCCTTTGAAAGTTTTTGTTCAGAGAGAGCAGAATCTTCAAATCAGTTGCCAAAAGATTTTTTAAAAATTGGCCTTATTAATAATTGTATCTTTATTGCATATGTAATGATCAACTTTTCAGCTTTAAAAAATAAATGACAACTTTAAATGCATTATGATAAAGAAGACCCACATCATGCTGGTTGAATTCTTTAAAATTTATCACCTCCCAGCTCAACACACATGCCTTCATCAAATGTGTTTCAAATCTCAGCACTTATAACTTGACATTTGTCTAAAGTCACAAGATATTAGCTCTTACTGTCAATAAAGACATATACGCTCCACCTGTTAGTTACAGGTACAACAAGCAGTCAGTTACGATAATTGCTCACTTTCATGATTTCTTGTTTATCCACCATTTGCTTCCTACTCAAAAAACTCAAAATATGTAGGTTTTTCTCATTCAGATGCAATCCAAAAAATAAATAATCATATTTGTCGAGCCACATTTGCTTCTAAAAATAACTACAGTCACAAACAAAAAAGTAAAATATTGCTATAGATAAAACTGTGCTTATAAGATGACATTTAATTTTGTTTTCCTTTCACACGTCTACTGCTACTATGTTTACATGAGACCTGTAAACATAGCTGAAATGTTACTTAATAAATACAACTATTTCAACAAGTATTTTTATACTATTTGCTAGTATCATTTTTCAAGTATAAATGTACCTATCATAATCTTGTATAACATTGCCAACAGCCCAAATTGCTTTCATATATTCGTTGTGATGAATGGGATCGATGTGATGAAGGGAGTTTGGGTCTCGTGGGTCGCCATTAGAGGCAGTGAAGTCAACAGCAACCTGATAAAATATTGTAATACAGTCATATTCTATTATATAATAATATCAATTAAGTAGTAAATACTCTATTATATAATAATATGGTAATATATGCTACATGGTAGACCACAAAGGTATCATTTCAGCAATTACAGGTAAATTTCCAAATAAATTCATATGTATGATAGTTAAAAGTGTCATTCGTAATCATGAAGCACTAGAAAAGCTTAAAGATGAAATGGAATGAAAATGTTTGGTAAAAAAAACCCACGTTTCCAAATCAGAACAAAAGAAGATTAATGAACTAATTAATGGACAATTATGCAGTTAATACAGGTCGATCTTACAGTAAAGATATAACGCAATATATACATAAGAATTTTAACATGAATGTATATCCTAAGCATACAGTTAAGAGACAAAAGTATTTTTACACTTCAGTCACCTCTAATAAATAAAGGTTTGGTATTTTTACAAAAATCTCTTCAAATACACTTTTCAGTAGTTGTGATTGTAGAATTTCTATAATTAGTGTTATTGTAATTCTGGTTGAGAAAGGTTGCCATCAGGGCTTGCAACCGAGGTGTATAAACTTTGCAAATCGAATATGGAGAAGAATCATGTGATATGCCATACAGGTAGGATGTAGAACCACATGGTATGCCATAGAGCTAGGGCATCCCCCATAGGTGATGCGCACTGCTATCCCTCGGACGGTGTGAAAAGTTGGCAAGAGGTACCAATAGCCAGCGAAAATGTCTAAAGAAGAGAGCTGAAAAACAGGATTAGGAGATTCACTAGAAAAAAAAAAGATTAAAGACTCTGTGTGTTCATTAGACCAAGTGTAAAGGACAGAGTACAAAAGAAATAGGTGCAGGCTACAAGCTGTTTTATGCATGTGTGTCAAAACAAAGGAATGCAGTTGGAATTATGTCAGATAAGGAAATCGAGATAAAAGTGGTTGAAGTACAGAGAACATTGGACCGACTCATGCTCATGAAAGTGACAACTGAGGAAGGGATGCTGAACATAGTATCAAGTTACGCTCTGCAGACAGGATGCTCTGATGAGGAGAACGAGGTATTTGATGAGAAACTACAAGACATTATTATAGGGATACCAGATATTGAGATGATAATTGTTGGGCCAGATCTGAATGCACATGTAAGAAAAAGTGGAAGGGTGTGAAGGGACACATGGGAAAGAGAGGCTATGAAATAAGAAATGTGGAAGGAGAGAGATTGCTAGAAATGGCAGAGAGTATGGATTTGTTCCTGATTAATACTTGGTTCCAAAAGAGAGAGAGGAGCACCTCATCATATACAAGAGCAAACAGAATAATACACAGATTGACTACATCTTAGTCCAAAGGAAGCACAGAAAAAATGTGATGGATGTAACTGTGATACTAAGAGAAGCAGTGGTACACCAACTGGTAAGAAGGACCTGTCTGGGTATAGGAGGATGTAGGTAGAATGATAAAGCATCCTGTGCACACACAGTGCAAATTCCAACTGGTGACATCTGCAGGCTAGAAGCAACAAAAAATGAACATTAAGGGAAAGGAGATACCTAATATATGAGGCTAAGGGCTCAAACAGATGTCAAGAAAGATCATGTAACACCACCTTAATATCCCAGGTAGGTAACTCGACCAGCCATTTGGGATGAAGGACTTGAAATGACTTAAGGAGGCCAGAGAGCACTAAGAACTCAAATAAATTTTGTCTCTTAGAGTATCTAAAGGTAGATGATAAGGCTGCCATGTATAAGGTGATTGTGGAAGATGCAAAACCCTTGTCAACAAGCCAGGTCAAAAAACAAGCTATGGTTCAACCTCCTTACAATACATCATTGTCGATATGTGTGCCATTTCCATTGATAAATATCCATCATGGGACTATGCAGAGACTGAGACAGATACATTTCAACCTTAGAAGTTAAACCCCGATGCTGTGCAAAGTACCGCATCACCTCCAAGCATGAAGTTTGAGCTTTGGGATGGCTGGGTGTACAATGTAAGGTCATGGCTGCTTCAACACAGATGGCCAAAAAGGAAGTGGAAAAGGTGAGCACTTCTGAAAGTGCTGCAGAAGCAGAAACCAGAGTTGACCCACCCAAGCTGTTGCTACCAACAGAACACAAGGGATTTAACGAATCATAGCTAGTACACTGCGTAACATATAAATCAGTTGGAAGGCATACAGATGCAATCATGACTGAATGTATCTATTGCCAATATCTGAGGGTAAGGTACCAGAGACCAAAATGCTGGCAGTTGAGTGTTTCAATGAGTGGCAAATGCATCGATCATCGTTGTCCTCAACTGAGAGCAAATCCAACAGAAAACTTCCAAATGAAGCATCCATTCTGTCAGGAGAATCTGGTTGGGTCGAGACAGTTGAACTGCCACCATATTCATCACCCCATAACATGGCAAGCTAGTAGGATGATATAATGGAAGTGAGCCCAATAAAGAGGATCCAAGATTCAAAAACAAAGAGAGTGCCCCCGTGATGAGAAAAGTAAGACACCACAATGGAACTGTTAAAGTGAAGCATGACGAGTTTTCTCCTCAATAAGCCCAGACCTTGAGACATCATCTTTTGAACAGCAAGAAGTTCTAAAACATAGATGTGTAGAGAAGCCTTGTTGTCCATCCATAGGCCCTGAAATTCCTGACTGTTGAGATATGCACCCCATCCCTGAAACAAGGGATCCACAAAGAGATGGATCTCTGGACGAAGTGGCAGCAGAGGAATACCCATTATAGTATTTTTCCGATCTAACCACCACTCGAGATTGAAGATATTGATCCTGAATAAGAAGACTGGGGAATACAGTGGATCACTGTTCATGATCCATTGTTTGCATAGAGACCACTGAAGGGATCTCATGTGTTCTCATCCCAAAGGAATGAGGTATTCAAGCGATGCCCACATCCCCATAAGAGAAAGAACCACCCGAGCAGTGGGAGAAGGAGATGTGAGTAAGAGTTGGACTGCCTGTTCCATAGTATGGAGCCAGATGGGAGTCGGCTGCTAATGATAATGAATATGTGAATTGAATGACTAATCCTGATGCAAGGACCTTTAGTACCCATGGATTGGTGGTAAAGGTTTCCCAAACGTCCAAAAATTTTCAAAACAAAGCCCCCACAGACCTCAAAGGTATACAGTAGTCACTGCTGCCACTAGCATGGTTACAGCCAAGTGAAGGAACCTCATGGATGAGGGCAGAATCTATTCTGGGTACCACTGGACCGAGTAGATGATGTTAGGGGATCAGGACAGTCATTTTAGGGCAGAACTATGACCCCCTATAGGAGCAGATGAAAGTCGAGAACCCAATGACGACAGGTATGAGTGCAGAGGGGTGATATCGAGCCTTGATTCCAAATACTGTGGAACACCTGCAAAAATCAAGGGGCGTAGAAAGAGGGTCTCATAACTCATGAAGGGTGACAGCCAGTAGACGAACATACCAGCCAAGAGACTAGGGAAAGTGTAGAAGCTGACAATAGAACCAAGTTAGATGCTAATTATGGTCCAAATTTGACGTAGCAATCACTGAGAGGCTTCCAACAAAAGTTGGAGAGATGGTAAATATTTTAACACCGTAGTTAGGGTCAGATGAGTCCTAGAAAATTGTGATTCAGATTGACCACAGACTTCATTCTGGAACCCCATATTTCCAGGAGCAGGTGTATTGTTTAAGAGTCTAAATACACATCCACCTGGTGGTGGTAAGCTAAAGCATGTTGCGCTGAAAAACGTGACGGACAAGGCATAGCTGTTCCTTCGTGTAACTGAACAATAAACCTCCCTGCATGAACCGCAATATCAGGAAATGGAGGGAGAACTAAGTATTCGTCCCCAAATCTTTCCACCATAAAGGAAGGCACAAACTCAAAAGCAACCAGGTAAAGACCCAAAACATCACACACTCTATTTACCAACTGAAGAAAAGAAGCCAGAGGTGGCTGATTAAAATTGGCCTCATGAGAAGCCAACAGAGTAAAGGAAAGTGCTGGAAAAAGTCTAAATTCTCTCCAGAATATCCAGGATCACCTGCAAGTGCAGTCTCAGAGCCCCTCAGAGAAGCACCACTGGACGAAGATATGTCTCCATCTCACTACAAGCCACTCCCTATTCCTAATTGTTGAGCAACGCTGGATGTAAGAAGTGAGATAGGAGAGGGGATTTACCTCCGTGCCAGAAACAGTAATCCAGAAATTCATGCTGTATACGAAAATCCAATAGGTATCATGAAAAATGCTCAAAGTATCTCCAACAGCCTTAGTGCAGAGAAACCAATTAGTAAATGCTTTGTCGAGAAAAAGTGAAAATATTATCTGAATGAGGTGTTTATATACAACACCAGGATAGAGGGCATATTGACATAGGTGGAGTGTGTCAGGAGACAGATATTGCCAAGGGCAATTAAGTGGGGAATAAAAGACTGGAGCAAGCAAGAAAAAATCAGACCAATGCTTAGATGGGCAAAGGAAGGAAATCCTGGCATTCAAGTAATAGCTGTAGTGTGAAAGGAGGTAAGTATGTTTTGAAATATTTCCTTTCAGTGTTGTGATGTATAATCTCTAACAATTTTCTTCACTACAGCTTGTGTGGATTTGTTTATTAATCAAATCAAAATATTTTATAATACATTTTTGAATTACAAAATTTCAAAAAACAAAAAGAGAATTAATCATTTCAACTTTGAATAAAACAATGTTCTCCAGGAATTGAGTTACTGCTAATTAGACAACTGTGCTACTTCAAATGCATGGCCAAAATAAGAGCTTTATTCAAACCTAACAAATTAGATTACAAACACACACACAATAAAGAGCTGTAGCAGTATTGGTGGTTCAAGAAGCAGATCATCAGCACTTAAAAAAATAAAAGAATATCTTTCAATTCTTTAAAATTTAATTCTTCAAATGCATTTAACTTGTTTCAACAGTTTACATATATACTTACAGTGAAGTTAATCTGTGTTCCACCAAAGATGTAGTCTAAGAAGCTGTAGTCTTTCGTAACCTACAAAATGCATAAATTTTAAGCCTGATTACTTTCTAATAATGAAATGTTACATGAATACACACACTAAGATAACCCGAAATATTGATACATTTTCTGTAATATACTTACTTTTAATTAAATAAAATATATTTTTGAAAAGTGACTACTGATTTTTTAATGTAAAGATGCATGAGGATTATAATCAGTGTAAGTGAGAGTGCTCTATATAATGATGATGGAAGGATGTGTTATGTTGAAAAGTGTTCCAGAGGAAAGCAATAAAAAAACAGTAAAACTGTATTTGAAGTTGTGAAAAAAGGACTGCAAAAGCTGCAGAAGGTATTTAAGATCTGGAAAGCAGAAGTTTTAGAAGAGAGAAATGAGATTTTTTAGGAGAAATATAATGTTGTAAAATTTAGTTCAATTATCACAAATGGAACAGTCTACATAATAGTAACAGGGAAGAGGGAAAGTAGTAGTAGCTTATCAAAGTAGAAAAAAAATGTTTTTAACATAAGGAAAATGAAGAGAAAGTTTCTGGAAAGATCTAAAATATTAGAAAGGCAAGGAAAAATTAAATGTCTTATACAAAATGAAAGAGAAAGGAAAATATATGGAATAAATCAGAAGATATTTCATAAGAAGTTAAACGTAATAAAACAGAGAATGAAAAAGAATAAACAATATAATATGTAAAATATGCATAACTGGAATAAGAGAGGGAAGATAGGAAGACACAGAATGTGTAATATGAAGCTGAAACTTGGGAAGAGCCAGAAGAAAAGAAGCCAAATTAGAGAACAAAAAAATTATAGACTGGCCCCACCAGGAACTACTCAAGCACATCAAGTAGGAATGCAAGGAGGAGAGTATTCTAGACCTACAATAGTGAAATTTTAATAATAAACAGAAAGAAAAATTCTGTAAGAAAGAAAGAAAAAATTTAAAAGTTATGGGAATATACAAAAAACGGATTATTTAGCACAAACTAGAAAAAAAAGAAAAATTGTTTGAAAAAGCCAAGAAAAAGAGAGAGAGGGAATAGGGTGAGAGTGAGATATAATAATAATAACTGGAGGTTAATGTTTTGAATGGAATAATGAGAAGTCAGAGGTGGTGATTAAAAAAGAAACAAAACTGGGAAAAAGAGGATGTAAGGCAAATATGTGAAGAAGACAAAAAATAAAAAAAAGTACAACAAAATAAACAAGATAAAAAGAAAGAATAACAGAGAGCAGTGATGAAATAATGGGGTGAAACATAATGGGATTATTTAATGAGAATAATGATTACTGGGAGTATGTTTAGAAACATTAAAGGTGATCCTAACAGAGACAAGGATGGAATCAAAGTTACAAAGTAGAACATAAAATAAATGTGGTGTTAAGTAGGAGTTGAAAATTAAATATGTAGAATGAGAAAAGAGCAAAAGAAGAGCATACAATAAGAGTCGAAAGAGGTTTGGGATAAAAAGTGAAGGATGATATAGGATTTTCAGTTAAATACCAAAAAAAGGTAGGTAGTGGTGTATAAAAATCAGGGAGTAAAAATACTTTAGCAGGGTCTAAAGCAAACTGGAGAAAGGATTGCAAGAAGGAAAATATATAATGTTAGTAAGTAAGTAAGGATCATAAAAAAAAAGGACAAAAATGTGATGGAAAAGAGGAAAAAGGTATGCGAGATACCATGGAAAGGATGGAACAATTCACAAAATTAAGAATTCAATAGGGAAGAGGAAAAGTTTACAGAATTTTGTGAAATTTGGGTATTGATGGTCTTGAACAGAAAAGTGGAAAGGGATGAGAAAGAAAACAGCCTGTAAAGGAGCAAGATGAGATTTGGTGGTGGACTATATAATTGAAAAAAAAAGATCAGAATTGATTATTAGGAGGATGGAAGTAGAAAATAGGATAGAGTTGAATCATATGCCAGTTACAGAAAGAACAAAGAAAAACGTATTTTGAACAGAAGTGAAAAGAATATGGTGATACATACAGAAGACAAGGAGAATGTTCTGGAAATTATTAATATTATTTATTAAATGACAGTAGAATGGGTTAAGATGGAAGGATCAAAGAAGAAAAGGAAATATAGTTTAACTGGGTATATAAAAAGCAAAAAAAAAAGATAGAAGAAATGAAGACATTTCAAAGGGAAAGGTTGGAAAAAGAGAGTAAATAATATGTTAAAAGAAGAAAGGAAGTGCAACAATTATACCAAAAGAAGAACAAAGAAAGAGACAAATAACTGGGAAGAAGTAAAAAAACAAAGAAGAAGTTTTAAAAAGTAGCGAATATATATAAACCTGAAATTAATAATAAGGTGGACAAGTAATGAATATAAAACAATCAACAGAAGGAACATTTTAAGAACATTTAAAAGGTGAAGAGAATAAAGTAGAATTGCAAGAGGTTAAATAAGGAAAAAAGAAGTGTTCAAGATGAGAAATTGAATAGTTGGTGAGCAGAAGAACTCAAAAAGTAATTAAAAATATTACTTTAATACGAACTAATAAAAAAATCAAGAACCAAAGTCTTTGCAACTATGAACAAAATACACAAACAAAATAGCATATAAAAAAATGGAGAATGGCAGATATTTATTAAATTTACAAACCAGAAAATGAAGCAGATATAAATCACTACAGATGAGTCTAATTATTAAATGTAATATATAAATTAATGGCTGGAATGATGATAAGAAAGCTTATGAGTGGTTAGTAGGAAAATAAATTCTCCCAGAGATAATATGGTGTCATAAAAAAACTTAATAGAAGACAAATTATAAAAAAAGAAATTATGTATTTTTTATATACTTTAAAGCTGCATTTGACATACTGGACAGAAAATATTGTTCACCAGAAAGGGACGAAATAAGAATATTTTAAAGTGTTAGACATTGTAAAAATAAAATAAATAAAAGTGATAAATGGAATTAAAAGAAAAAAACAGAGATCAGAAAGATTTTGAACAATGAAAGGAATCAAACAAGGATGTTTGTTAAGTCCTAGATTATCTGCATCAGATTAAAATGACTCAGAAGATGAGTTCGTGGAAAAAATATATTAGTTGAAGCGTGATAAGTAAAACAGTATTTGAAATATGTGGATGATATTTATTATTGTAACGGTGGCAGTTTTTCTAAAGGACGTGCAGAGGATGCTTAAGAAACTTGAAAAATATATGAAGATGGATCAAATAATCTTAAACGTAAAAAAAAGTAGCGAAGAATGAAACATGGGAATGAATAGGTCAGCAGATATAAGTCATTAAAATATACATATCTGGGGTATTGAGTCAGCAACAACAGCATGGTAACAGAACAGATAAAACATATTAATGTAGTAAATGCATGGAGTGTTGCTAAAAGTGGAATACAGGATACAAATAGTTTCATTTATTTGAAAGCTTCATAAATTCCTGTATTAACTATGGAGCAGAAATTTGTGGATAGAGAAAAAATAATAACAATAATACAAAAAAATAAAATAAAAATACAAGCAAAACATTGAAAATAGTCAATGGGTTAAAGCAGAATCCCAACCCACTACAGTTGGCAACTGAACTCAGAAGGACACTGACACAGATTAGTACAATAATGAGTATTCTACACAACTATCAAATAAGAAGGAAAGTGACCAATATTATCTGAAAGGAAGTGCCAAAGAAACAGTAGATAATAAAAGAACCAGATGAGGATGAAGAAAATGTTCATGAAAATCCTGAAATGTATCCAAAGACAGCAGAAAAAAAATAAAGATGAAATACTGAAGAAATCTAAGTATACTCTTCAACAAAAATTAAGAAGAAAAATTGTGTATTGTAAGTTAGAAATCAGTTATGATAAGATAATCATGGTTACCAAATACTTTAATAATATCAAACATTTCTTTTAGTCAGCAATAAGCCTAGAAATCAAAGAAGAAAATTGTGCCAATATTTACATTTTAATTTTAACTTAAGAATCAAATCATTTTGCAAATTTAAAACTAGAAATAATAATATTTTACACTAATAACTAGTTCAGAGTTGGGTGTTTATTGGCCTTGATATATCCTGTAAGCATGTCAATGCATGGAGATGAATAATTTCTCGTTTTTCAGACATATATTTACAACAAACTTACTTGACAGGAACTAAGTATAATTGTTCCAGAATTTGTATACGAGTTCCCTTTCTTCTGTTTTTTCTTCATGTTGATGCATGGCCACGATACCTACAAAAATGAGAAATTCATACATTTTATGAGTTCTACTCAGATCCATATTACCTTCAGTAAGTCAACAAAGCATGCCAACTTATGGATGTTAAAATATATATAATATTTATATACACACAAGTACTACAACTGTAAATATTTTAGAAGATTTTAAAGTAACATAAGAAACTACAAGCATTTGCAATATGTGTTAAACACTGTGTTACACTAACTTGTATATAATGATTTAAGCAGGTGCTTTACAACAACTTGTTTGCAATATTTCACATAGGTCCTTACATTTTTATATTAAGCTATCTCATTCACTAATCGTCCTATAGCTTTCAACCGAAGAACTACGATTGTATACAAACATGTGAAACCTTCGTTATTAAATAAATGTACCAGAACGTAGTGAATCAAGAATGTGCCTTAACATTCCTTCCATGATGCTATGTACTGAGAATCAGTTTTATTCATGGAAAAATATTACAACTATTATCTCTGATTCTGACAACAAAGTTATCACAATTCAGGTGAATAAAAAAATTAATTATCTGAAGTGTATCTTTAACATCGTTTTTGATAAAACCTTTTAATTAATCTGACTCTTCAATAGAACCACCGCCTAGTTTGTTTCTGTGCCAAGCACTAAAAACTGAAGTGCTGTTTTCTTGTTTACACATAAAATCCTAGATTGTTATAAAACTCAAGCAAGCCTTCAGATTTATTTCTTCTCTGTTTCTCTATCCTAAGAATAACAAAAACAGATACAATTACAATATTTTATTGATTTGGACAATTTCATATCTGTGGATATGATCAGGATTTGAAACAAATAATTCTGAAGAATTTAATACTTTTACATAAAAAGCCACTTACTTGTTGATTCTGTGCCTGCATTATTTGTCCCAATGTTGTTCTACACTCTCCAATCATGTCATGGCCTCCATCATCGTCATGATCATAACAAACTAGCTGTTCAAGCATACATTATATTTTCAATGCACAGCATCAAATAAGCTGTACAAAAATATTACATATATATCTAATGAATAAAATTAATACCACATTAACTCAAACTGAAATAAAGGGTCAAATTTACTGGAAGTATAGAGTTCAAGTCTTCTCTAACAAAACAAAAGTTTTTTATTTTTTATTAAAATTTACTTTCATTTAAATTTACTGCCTCCACAAAATCCAAAGGCAATCCATTCCAAAGACCAACCACCCTGTTAGAAAAATAAAACTGTTTTAGCTGAAGATGACTCCTACCTTGCAAAAATTTATATTTGTGTCCCCAAGTTCTACTATTTTCACCCTTAAGTACGAAAAAAAATGATGCATCAACGCTATCAATTCCCTTTACAATCTTAAACATCTCAATCAGAATAGGAAATAGGGTTAATTTATCACACGTAAAGCTTGTGTTATTGAAATATATTAATGTCAGCAATTACGAATTAGCCTGTTTGTTCTATTTCAAATTATTTGAATGCATAAAGTAATTTACATGCTCAGTCATGATTTTATGGTAAGGACTCTTGTCTGATGCAACTCAAAGTACATCCATTAAATATGTAATATGATATCGATGTTCACAACTTGGTTCTCCTTCTCTCTTAACAGACAGTTCAGATAAGTTAAACATTCATGTGAAGAATCATCAAAATAATCAACTAACTTCAGATATCTTTTTACTTGTAAAATAGATGATAGCAGATTTAATTCTTATGATTTTTCTGAGAATCTAGCAACAGTTTTGAGAGCAGAAAGACACAATTTGTGTTAAAATAGATACTAAGAAAAAGTGTCATCTGAAGAAGTGTTCCAAGATAAACTTAGGTAAACCTAACTTCATCTTAACCTTACGTCTAAACTCTATTTTAAACATATGTTTGAGAAACAGGATGTAGCCTTAAAGCTATATTAAAATAATTTGTGGTTAAGGTTATGATACAACCCTAAAGATTACATTAATAAAGTTTTTGTACACAAGTAATGTATTAATTGTGAAATGTTTAAGGAATAAAATGTGAGTTATCTTAAACCTTTCACTGCACAATTAATTTTAAGGCTGATTCTCAAAAAGTGTCAATTATCCAATAAAAAATAAAAGTATGAATTTCACTCTTTGTATTACTTTTTCAATGTCAAACGAAGCTGTATTTTCTGTATCTGACAGTAATATTCCTTGAAAACCGTATTGGATAGTGAAAAATAATGAAGTAAATTAAAAAAATTTTCTTAAGCATAAAACAAATTATTTAGATAACAATATCCAAGATATAAAGAAGCTGTCTTTATATAGATTCTATATGTGTTTCTGCAAAGTTGGCAATTTTGTAATAAGGCATACAAACATCCAGGTTTCATGGCATAGAACCCAGATAGCAACATGCATGCAGGTTTGGCAGTTGTTTCAAGTACAGGGGGATATTCTCGCATGTTGCAGTAGAGGGAAACTTTTTTTTGGTAGCTGTGGGGTAAATCCAAATTTCGCAGTCAGTGGGTATAAATGTTTATTCATATATATCCGAACTATGCAGCAAAAGGGTTAATTAAGATTTTGTGATTTGTCTTAGTAACACAGTGCAAAAATAAAATATGAAAGGCCATTAAATAACACATATACATACACAAATCTGGCTTATCGAGTCTCTGGAATTTAAGGAATACCAAGCAGAAAACAAAAAGTTTCTGCAATATCCAGCACTTTGATATAGTTTAACTTGGGTCAGGATTCAATATTAATAGTTAACGTGGTTTAGTTTTATCATTAATTTAGGCACAATTTCCTTTGTATTTTAAGAATTCTGTGGATGTTAAATAGAGTGGATTATACTTATTATGGGGGGAAAAACCACAAACTAACACCATTCAATTGTAAAATAAACATGATATTATAGGCAATTCAATGTAAAATGTTAAAATTTCATGAAGAGAACACATACATAATACATACATATGTCTAAATAAAACGGAGGTCACATTTAAAAATAAATGAAAGCAATTCCTTAAGATATAATTACATGATCACAAACTTAACAAAACAAAATACAATAAAATACAGGGCTATTAGTCAATATATCCTCAACTTAAGGGAGAGCGAACAGCCTAAGCTGTGGGATAATTACATTCTACTTATACTGTGTGTCTGTTAAAATTTGCTTAATCTTCCTTTCTCCTACATTTATTCTTAACTATTCTATCTCTTAAAAACAGAAGCAAATTAGAACAAATCACAGAAATGTGGTTAAGAAGTAAAGAAAAAAATAGATATATCAACTTATATAGCACAGTTCCAAAACTGGAATGATAACTCAACAACTGAAGACAAGAAACATGTTCCTAGCAAAAATTGTGCAGATAAAGACGTTTAAAAATTGTCCATATAAGTGGTTTTAAAGCTAGCTAGATAAGATGAAAAAGGTTGATATTAAGATTAATATTGCTAATGGAGTAATTAAAAAAACAGGTTCAAGCCATGACAAACACATTCTTCATTTCTACATGTTGCAAGTATCAGTCAAAATAAGCCGATTCCTTTACACAAAAATGAGTAAACCATATCATCAGATAAATTTCAAGCAATGAAGAAAACTTTAACACACTTTTGCTAATATTTAAAGGCATTTTATTTTTCTTCCTGTTATCAAACTCAAACATCTCATTTTGTAGATATAGGATATAAAATAATGGCATACCAATATAAACAAGAACCAAAAAAAATCTTCTAGGTTTCAAGCTGGTGTTTTATGATGAATTATTTTTTGAATATCACTAAATCTAATACACTTAGTCATTAATATTCAGTTCTTCTACATATCACTGGTCATAACCAAAGTTAGCTTTCGGTAAAAACATTTACTCGTTACAAAAATTAATTAAATATTTTATTGAAACACCAGACAAGTAAAGTCTAAAACCATAAATCAAAAACTGTTTAAGTTTAAATCAAGAGTTAAAAACTTACCATAAGTTTTGACACTATCTAGTGTCTTCTTCAGTGGAAAATAATAGTGTTAAAGAGTATGGCAGGTTTTCGACTACTGGTTTTAATTTATGGCTTTAGATTTTACTTGTTTGGTGTTTCAATAAAATGTTTAATGTTATTTATTCAGTCTCTTAACCATTTTTTTTTACAATAAAGAAGTTGATATGAACTATGTCTGGACAAGTGTTTATATAAGAATATACATATTGACACACACACACACATGATGAAAAGATTGAATTAGTTAAACTTAATTTCACAATATGTGGTAAGCACAAATACTGCTTCATCAACATACCTGTAAGCACACATATGTGTTTAATACATTAGATAAGAAATTTCTACAAGTTGCACAACACTGTAAACGTGGAACACATGGACAAACAGTGTGTGAAGGAACAGAAATATAAAAAAATTAAGATTCCAAAAATTTGCTAGAGAGAAATAAGGGAATTATGTTTCCTCAGTATCAGCTTCTTACTTAATTCTTAAACATTAAGTTTTACAACAAGTTCAATACTGTCCTTTAATCTGAGAAGGTGGGGAAAAAAAAGATTCACTGGCATCAAGAATTATTTATAAAAACAACATACATCCTATTTTTCTGTAAATTTTCACATAAGTAGCAACTCGACCAATTGAGATATTTATAAAAATGGTGTGGGGTAAAGAGTTATACCAGTTGACCTTCTGCTAACTATAATATGCATTTAGAGTGAGAATATATATATAATAGTCACGCAATATGTATCAAATGATTATTAAAAAACAAAATACCTTACGAATGTTTTTTTTTTCATTCTATCACACCACAAAATTAAATAACTACAACTAAATGACCTAATCACTGAAATAGTCTGTATCCTTTGAGCTATGAATTTTGTAAAAACAATTAGTACCTAAAGATAGAGTTGAGGAAAGTAAGAATATGCATCCTGCTGCCTAAATTTAGTCATGTTTGCATTTATCTCTTTCTTTGGATTTCTAGTTCATCTTTGTTGCTTATGTCTACTTAAAACATACTTGCAAATTCATCTGGGTGACTTTCTTCAAGAAGTTTTTCTGTTATTTTATTATAAAGATATATTTACTAATGTAGAAAACTTTAGATGAACCTCTCCAAAAAAACTAGTTTTGTTTATGAATAATAATTTTACCAACATAAGAAACTGTGCTAACCTTTCCAAAAAACTGATCTGTTTCTTACTGATAACAAAAACTAATAACACAGGACACTCAAGATTAACTTCTCTGAAAAAAATATGTTTCTTACTTATAATAAAAACTATTGATATAGGACACTATGTATTAACTTCCTTGTAAAGCTTATCCGTTTTTTTATATTATAAAAACTACCAATACAGGACACTCAATGTTAACTTCCTTGTAAAGCTTTTCCATTTTTTATTTATTATAAAAACTATCAATACAGGACACTACGTATTAACTTCCTTGTAAAGCTTATCCATTTTTTATTTATTATAAAAACTATCAATACAGAAAACTCAATGTTAACTTCCGTGCAAGCTTATCTATTTCTTATAAAAACTATCAATACAGGACACTCAATGTTAACTTCCTTGTAAAGCTTATCCATTTCTTATTTATTATAAAAACTACCAATACAGGACACTCAATGTTAACTTCCTTATAAAGCTTATCCATTTTTTTATCTATAATATAAACTACCAACATGGGTTTGTTTGTTTGTTTGTAATTAAGCAGAAAGCTACATAATGGGCTATCTGTGCTCTGCCCACCACAGGTATCAAAACCCGGTTTCTAGCGTTGTAAGTCCGCAGACATACCGCTGTGCCACTGGGGGGCACCAACACGGGACATTCAATGTTAACTTCCTTATAAATCCATCTTTTATCTTTAATAAAAACTACTAACACAGGACACTCGACTTTATCTGTTTATAATTAAGATGGAAAAACCTACCAACTCAGGAATCTCGGGATTAACTTCTCTAAGAAGCTCAAGCAGGTCTTATTCATAATAATAAATCTACAATATATAAATTGATCTTTGTGTTAAATTCCCTAAAAAGCTTATTCGCTTCTTATATCTGATAGAAAACTTACCAACATAGGAATTTCTGGGTTATTTCCACCAAATGATTTTGCTGCAATATCAAACTTTTTCCAGACAGGATTTAGAGTGTGTTTTATCACCTAGAAAGTATGCATAAATTTTCTGAGAATTATGTGTTTAAGAAAAATTTACAATGCACTGTATGTTTGAAACAAAGACAAAAAGTGTCAAAACTTGTATCTGTATACATTTGTTGTTCCGTAATAGTGGGTCTAAACTTTATTTTAGATTACTTTTCATGGTATTGTGTATTTACCTACTATTAAAACTATATTGTATCTAATAAGATGAGAGTAGTAAATATTGTAACGTAACTTGTTTGGAAAATTTGTATTTGGGAATAAGAGGGATGCAGTGTAAGATTTTCTTGGCTGATACCAATAGCTGATGGCTACTCAATCTTATCAGCCAAAAACCAATATTTAGTATTAGAGCAAGTAAGGTACCTTAAAATAGTGAACAAATTAAAAGTTAACCTATAGGTATTTTTTTCTGGTTGCATTTAAAAACTTTAAAAAATTCTTTGCATTAATGCTTTTAAAAACACTTAGCAAAATAAAAGCACACAAATATATATATATTAGCTTTGAATTGTAACTAAATTTCATTAGTTTATAGTAGAAATTTTATACATGTAAACATAATTATTCACTTCATCACAAAGAAGTCACCATAAAACTATTCAATATATTTTACAATATTCAGTCAAACAACTTTGTCATTTCAGAGAACAAAAGACAGCATTCAGCTTCAAATCACAACATGAATACCAAAGGGGTAAATCCAGCATAATGATGCAACTTTAGTATCAGACTAGAAGTCTGTGGATGTAATAACATATCTACTATGCAAATAATCTAAATAATAAATAACTTCTTTCTTATCCATAACACATTCATTGTTATTAATAGTGAATTTAAGTATATTATGCATTTATTAATTGTCTTTCACCTTATTTACCCAGTTTCTAAACAGAATTACTTTAAAATTTTCCTTTTTACTCCATTTATGTAAAATTTACCGAGTGATCTAATAATTACTTTTTAGTGCATTTTTAATTAATTTTTGGACTTTCAAGAATTTTGGACTTTTGACTCATTAGTAGTTAATTATGATATCAAGGTTACCAGTGAGCAGGGAGTCAACAAGGGAATAAATGTAGTTTTAGTCTACAGTAAAACTATCTTTCATGACCAAGTTTTAAGATGAAGCCCTGTCCAGAGCCTGTATGTTCCTCTCAGACAAGAATCTAGCTACTATTTATCTAAACTATTAGTATTAAAGCTGCCTTCATACTCCACAAAAATTAAAGGCTGTTATACAAAAAACATAAAATATGCATACTGACATGCTAAATACATCAGAATTAACCTGTGTGTGCAATTTTTAGTGCTAATGATAATTTATTTTTTCAACACCTGCGTCTGAACCACATGGAATTCGCCAACTTTTCACAGTGTTTGCCTGTAAATAAAATTCCCTAAATAATGCTTAACAGGTTGAAAATGCAAAATATAAAATTCATTGACTTTTCCCAATTTCCCTAACCCATTGACTCACTCAAGAAGCCTTTTTTTTTGTATATATATACAATAATTTTGACTTTGGGTGCTGTGAAACTTTCTTATTTTCAACATAATATTATAATAATCTACCTACATACATAGGAAACAACACTTTGTGAAAGGTAGAATCACTGCAATATATAAACAATTAGTAATTGTCTTGGTGCAATTATACACCTAAAAGTGGGTGATTTATTTCCAAAAATAAATAAAAGTTAACATTTTAAAATACTATTTCAACATTTAATTACTCTTCAGTATTTCTATGCAGATATAAAAAGTTAAAAACATGCCAGTACTAATGAGCAATGTTATAAACACAAGTGAATTCACTTACATCCTAATTACATACTCTTGATTATCTTTAATTATTAACTCTCTCAACACGGGCCCAGGTCAATTTGACCGACCACGTGACATCTTTGTACTCGTTTAAAGTCTTTATAGATTTAATACTTCTAACTTTCAATATAGTGTAATGCATTTCACAGGTTTTTTTTCAGTAAAACTTTATAGTTTATTTGTTATTTTCTCAACCCTATCTCAAAATGGAATCAGTCAATTCGACTGACCTTATAACCACCAAAAAAAAAAATCTGAATAATTCTAAATTACCCTTTTTTCTTTCTAGAATGACTTCAAATTGTAACATGAAACTACATTCGTTTATCCTAAGTTGCTCTAAGTTTGTAACAGTATACATCTATTTATAATTAAATTTTTTGTTTTATTGCCCTTTGAACCATATCTAACTATTATCCACACCATTATAAGTTGTGCAGCTCACATTATACTAACGAATTACATTACCCAAGAGCTACTATGAGCTTCTCACGTGTGTGTGCCTCATGAAAAATTTTTATTATAATATTATTATTATTTATTTTACCAAATCCAATCTTAACTAACCTAAAAGGATCCTTATTTTTACATTTTAGTTACTTTTATAATTATACATAAAGAATAAACATGAAAAACAAGAAATAAAATACTTAACCAATCCTCTGCTTTCTTGCTGCTGATTGTCAAAGAGAGTAAACCATAATTTTTGATACTAACGATAGTAATGCACTTAATAATTTTTATTAAATTAAATAATGCACTAAAGAATATAGACTAATAACATGCAAAAAGTAGATAAATTCCCTTAACACTCAAAATATTTCTGGCTTTCTAACTATGCGACAAGAGTCGTTACAAATTCATATATTTTAGTCTTTAACTTTCTCACTGGAATGATGTTGGTACTCTGAGTGAAATTTACATTTAACCATTCAGAACATAACGTTATACAATACGTTATTTGATAAATGAAAACCTTGACTTTCTATTGGTGATAGGTAATATGTAATTAAACATAAGAGAGAAGTATTTACGAATCCTGAAAGAGAGGATGTGACAGGTAGGTGTGGCAGGAGGGCTCTGATTTTCTAATCGATAGCTCTGTAACCAAACAAAATTGAAGACTATAAAAATTATAGGTTGTCTGAGCAATGGCAATTTTATAGAGTATTTATATTTAATTTTGTACTTTTTTTGAGTGGTGGT